TTTCTGAAAAGGCCCCAACACTTCAAAACGAATACGATAGTCCGTAGTGGGCTTTAATTATATTTGGCAGATGATACTGGATACTGGATACCAAGATGGAATCAGTACAGGGCACATGACACGATTCTCCTAGTAAGGGATAATGGATAAAAGGCAACCTGCAGTACGAACTTGGGCTGGAGTCAATCATAAACATAGAGCAAACAAGACAAAATCAGATTCCAGATCACTGAAAATTTTCTTCGAGCTCATTGACAATTCAAAGACGGCATAATAGAGCCAGCGAATTACGGTCCTCAATCAAACAATCAGCAAAATGTGTGCTGGAAAATTGAATTTTGATTCGGATGTAGATGTTGATGTTGATGTTGATGCCTAGGCCCACCTAATGAAAATCAATTCAGGCGCTTGCCATTTTAGGCGGAAGTCCACAGAAAAAAACAACAGAGACTGCCTCTGCCTCTGCCTGTGCCTCTGTTTGGCTCCGGCAAATATACATAATTTTTGTCTGGCGATGGGATGAATTCTGTTTATACGCAGTAGGTATAAAATTATATAAAATATAAATAGCAAAAAGTTCTCTGGCTCGGTCCACAACAAGCTCTTATGAATATGAAATGATTTCGAGCGAATAAATGAGAGAAGTTTTCGGATTGATGCTCGTCGCAAATTTCAACAATCAAAATAAATATTTAAACATAATCGGACCCACAATTAGCCAGAGACCTTACCCCTCCCTCGAGTCCCAGCCACCCGTTCCTGCGCCCATCGTGGCTATATTACCTATCTCTTTGGCCAGTTTGTGGTAAAAATAAATTAGTTCCCAGTTTCCCAGTCCATGTTTCCGTCAACGTAAACCGCTCCCTTCCTCGCTGCTGGCTCTGCTGCAATTGGCCTTCATTTGCGAATGAGCAAATAAGTGAGTTAACTGTAATTTCGGGCTAGTAATCATTAATAATTTACGGCCAATAGGCTCCAGCCAAGTCCCATCTCAGTCGCACACATAGGCGGCCAGCCGTTCCAGCCCCAGCCTCAGCCCCAGCCCCAGCCCCAGCCCAGGGAGCTCGAGTGGGTGGTGTAGGCTAGAATGGACGGTGCTGCGGGGGCTGGGGGTTAGCTTCGGACCGAGTGCCACTCAGCCTCAGCCTCAGCCCGCTCGGGCTGCTGTTGCTAACCACTTGACGTTTGGTAAAGCAAATTTTAAATAGCACAAATACTTGAGCTCTCTCGTTGTTCATTGTTCGTTGTTCGTGTTGTGCCAGTTTTTGTTTGACCGACAACAATTGACTGGGCCCTCGTTTTAACCCGTTGAGCCACCTGGCAGGAAGCAGGTGCGGCCCGTGGCTGGCGGTGGCAGCTGGGGCTGCTGGGGCTGCCTGGTACAAATGAAAAGTAAATAATTCAGCAGAAATAAGTTAAGGGGTCGTCCGTTACCGAGCACAGTACTGTTGATCTTTCAATTTGCCGAAGAAATCGTGTGAAATAGAAGCAATCAGCAAAAGTCGGTGAAAAGCAAAAAGAAATCAAGCTAAAATTCTGGTGAATTTTTCCAAGTTGTTAGGCAGCTCTGCTTAAAATTAATGAGTTTATAAATAAATTCTGGTTGGATTTCGTTAAATATCAGTAGTGCCTATTTTGTGTTTATTCTGTATACTAATAGCATCAGAAGTATTGCCGAAATATGATTATATTAGCAGTCAAAGTCGAGGTACGCTTTTCCTCTGGCATTGTTTTCCTTCTGGGCTTCTCCATACGTTTTCACCGTTTTTTTACCTCAGGCACTGGCATTACTCACATTCACGTTCATTGCAGGCGTACGTGCTAATGCCGGCATATTGATAGAAATCCTGTAAATATCCTGTCAACACCATGCCGCAACATCGAATGAAAGAAGCGGAACAGACAAGACAGTTCCTCATCCTCTTCATCTTTTTCCCCCTTGGAAGTCGAACGCTAATAGCGACAGCTGCACGTCGGCAGCGATAACAGGATACAACATTAAAGTACTTTGAGATTTACTTTTGAAGATTCCCCACCTTACTTCCGGGGCCCTGCATCCCGGCCATTCTGCGGCTTAAAACATAAAAATATGACAGGTTGTGGCATCCATCGCAGGCCTGCACTGAGCGGCTTAAGTCCTCGAGCTGGCTGGGGAGGGCAGAATGGGGCTATAAACTTTTTCAGTGCATGCAATCAAGGTGAATTTATGGATGCCAGATATTAGCCGAGTTCCCAGATAAAGTCTACAACATATGTAGGTGAAACATATGCAAGCGGTTTTATTCAAAGCGGTTTTTATTCAAAGATAATAAACTGCAGTAGTAAGACCTCTGATTGAAAGAAAAGAATACCCCTGTGCTCTACTTCGAGCTTCAGCTCTTCTTAGGTATTAATACAGAAATTTTCTTTTCTTTTAAGCTGATTCTGAACCTTATCAGCACACTCCAGTAACCACCAAGCCCCCATCTAAGCCTCCTTTTCCAACCCCCCGATGCCGCTGTTGCCGCTGTTGCTGCACATTTTTGTATTCCTCTTCCTGGAATTTCGCTTTATTATAAAATATTGAAGATGTACAGGAAGAAACAAAACAAAAAACAAAAAAAACAGCACAGCAAAAGAAAAGAAAGCCCAACAACAGCAGGCAAAGGAATGGCAAGCGCCACCATCTTCCTACAGGTGAAAGACTGACGAGACTCGTCCCGAAATCCGCCGGCACCACCCGACCCCCTTCGACTTTGAGTAATGACAGCAGCTGCTCTAATCGAAAACGTGTTTAAGTAGCTACCTGAAGCATTTAATAAAGCGAAATAAAAACTGGAAACTGGGAAGGAAAAAGCCAAGGAGAGTGAGCGGGGGAGCGGGGAAAAATGCCAAAGACGTAGGCGTGGTCATAATTGCGTGACACGGCGTGGCGCCATTTTGAAGTTAGTTACGCAAGACAATGGCCGGCAAAGGGAAGTTGAATGCGGATACGGATAAGGATGCGGATGCGGATGCGGCGGCTTCATTTTGTTGTTGTCTTGTTGTCTGTCATTTGCCGTCAGCCCCTTTAAGTTTTGTACGTGCGGTTGCTTTGCGGTTTGGCTTCAATGTAGTTGTATCTGTGTGTATGTGTGTGCGTGTGTGTGATAAAGATAATAAACATTCTTATCCTTGGCAGAGGAGGCATACACGGGCTTAGTGTCTGACAAATGTGTGCCGTGTGACAACGCCAGCGACATGAACCGGGAAAGGTGCCGCCTGCGGTCTCCACATGCGACGGCATATACATGTATGTACTCCCTTATTCCCTCTCTGTATATGTGTGTGTAAGCGGAATGAACGGTAATCCGTCGTGTTTTGAATAACAAAATTTCCCGTACGAGATTGTTGCACACTGGAATTTTACCCGGACCGCTAACAAACCGCAAGCAATGTCAAGTGGCACGAGGTGGAAACAAAAGACACAAGCAACAACTACGGCACACACAAGAAATGTCGTGTCCTGTGGGCCACGCCCAACCCTACCACACTCACACACATTTAGGGCTCCCTTTTTGTATGTGCCCAAAAAAAGAGAGAAGAGCCTCAAAGGATAAAGGATAGCCGGCCAAGTCGCGCACGCACATTTCGCACAAATTCTCGTCGAGTTTGTCAATAAAAGTGAAGAGCCTTGCCTTGCCTTGCCTTTCTTGCAGACCAGCCTTTAGACCAGCTGCCAGTGCGTGACAATCGCCACCTGGAAGAACACATTCTTATAGAAAACACGAAGGAGGAGGGTGTGTAAGCCATCCTGTAAATTGATCAAAATAAAATTTCTAATAATTCAAAAAATATATATATATTTCGTGTACAAAATTATTATTTAAAAATCCGAGTGACTGTGTGAAACCTTTGACCATTTTAAATTTTTTTTTTCATCCTGTTTATTATTCCACACTTTTTTAGTGTTTATTTCATTTTTGTTATTTTTTTCTTTTAACTTTGTTTCGTGGTTTTCAATTTCATACTCCATTCGTTTTCATCCGGCACGCATCCTCTTCTTGGCCCTTCTTCCTCTGTCTGTCTGTCTGTATGTCTGCCTGCTGTATTAATGGCATTTATTATTTTCTCGTTACACGTTGACTTTTGTTCTACAATTTCTCAAAGAAGGCGGCTCCTTCTTCGCCGTGGCAAGGCAGCAATAAACGATAACAACTGACAAGGATAAAGTGCAAACGGTGTCATCCGAGTACGGCCAAATACGAGTAGTGTCCTCTCCACCCAGAGATGGACTGGGTCCGGTATCTCGACATCTAACTGGAGAAGAGAATCACTCTCCATTTCAGTCCGTACCGGGCAGTTTTTCTTAATTTCTAGAGAATCTGCTGGGCGAGCTGCGATAAAGCGCTTCCGACCAGGCGTGCGGCGGTGCGGCAATGAGCATGCGAGTTTTGTTTGGCTTTTAAATTTAAATTTATAACACCCCACGAAGAGTGGAGTTGCGTGAGGCATAGCGGAAGAATCAACGGCGCACAGTGGCGAATCAGACGAAAAGAGGTGGCAAAACTAGAAGATTTTTGATTAAAATCAAATTTTTAAATATTTGGACCATTACCCTTATATTTTCTCGAGAATTTGTTTTGAAGTTATTAATTTAGCAAGCTAAAACGGCGGAATGTCCCACTGTGCGGCGTGGAGTCGCGTGGCAGCGGCCGGGAAATGGGTCGCGCTTAGTTAATTGGACTGGCTGATGAATTGTTGAGCCGTTGGCAAATTAACCCTCATCAGTTTTGGAGGGCCTAACTCTCACCACCATCCCCACCCAGCTTCCAGCTTTCAGATCTCACCTTCACACCGTCTCCAGCACACATGAACACGCCCGTACTCGTAGGGTAGAAAGAAGGTCGCTCGGCACGTAAATAATGCTGATGAGTGTATCTGAAAAATAAAGGAAATTTCCAGTGCAGTCAAACTACATACACATAGAGATTCCTTTCCAAAAAGAAACAAAATAAAAATAACAAAATTCTTCATCAGAGATGTTTATTAAATTTGGTCTAGTAAGTCTGTTGAGCATCTCAATCATAACATGGAACTCTTTTTATGGTAAGTCCGCAGAAGAATTACCTTCAGTGAGAGCATTCAATTGAATAGAATATCTTCAAGCAGTCAATGGGACTGAATTTGAGTCAGCAAAGTGCGTGAGCTGTGACGAATTTCAAGAGCCGTGCGCTGGTCTTGAAACCTCCGGCATCTCCTGCGATAATGCAACAGATCGAGAGAAATTTAAAGAAAAGAAAACCGCTACAAATGGAACACTTGCACAATGTGTGCCCGATGAATACGAAGTGACAGGTATGCAGGCTATTTGGTACATATATTTGTATTAACAGACTGATTTCATATTTTCCAGGTATTTTATGGGAAATGTGCTGCATATGGAACCCGAAAATGGGATGCCGACAGATTGCGGGACACTACTATCAGCAGACTGAACACTGGAATGATTACTGTATGTACTGTCTGCACATATGCGGCTGCGGAACAGGAAGAATTGAAGCCAGAAATGGCCTTACCAGAGTACTGCTGCTTTGCTACACTATTATCGGAATTTACTCTAAACTATTGTACATATACGAAATATACTAAGAATTCTTGCAGTTTCCACTTTTATACGATATTGTGCTGCTTTTGTGCTGAGCCAATTTCCGACTATGAACTGAGAATGCACTGTGAATGCCCTAACACATGTTGTTTTACATATCATAGGAAATTAAATGAAGCTGCTTACATGGGGACTAGGCTAAGGCGTTTAGAAATCAAGTCAACAATACATCCAGGGAGATTCTTTTCAATATCAAAAGTTTTCAATCAGTGATGATTATCCAATTTGATCTAGTAAGTCTGTTGTTGAGCATCTCAATCATAACATGGAACTCTCTTTATGGTAAGTCCGCAGAAGAATTACCTTCAGTGAGAGCATGCAATTGAATAGAATACCTTCAAGCAGTCGATGGGACTCAATTGGAGTCACCAAAGTGCGCGAGCTGTGACAGTGTTCAGGACGCGTGCACTGGTCTTGCAACCTCCGGCATCTTCTGCGATAATGCAACAGATCGAGAGAAAATTAAACCAAAAAGAACCGCTACAAAAGGCACACTTGCACAATGTGTGCCCGATGATTACGAAGTGACAGGTATGCAGGCTAGATGGTACATATATTTGTATAACCAGACGGATTTCATATTTTCCAGGTGATATATGGGACTGGTGCTGCTTTTGGAACCCGAAAATGGGATGCCAACAGCTTACGGGACACTACTATCAGCTGCATGAAGACTGGAATATTACCTGTATGCTCTGTCTGCACTCGTGCGACTGCGATACAGGAGCAAATGAAGCCAGAAGTGGCCTTGCCAGAGTACTGCTGCTTTGCTACACTATTATCGGAATTTACTCTAAACTATTGTACATTTACGAAATATACTAAGAATTCTTGCAGTTTCCACTTTTATACGATATTGTGCTGCTTTTGTGCTGAGCCAATTTCCGACTATGAACTGAGAATGCACTGTGAATGCCCTGACAAATGTTGTTTTACATATCATAGGAAATTCAATGAAGCTGCTTGCATAGGGCCATAGGGCGCCAAGGCGTTTAGAAATCAAGTGAACAATACATCCAGGGAGATTCTTTTCAATATCAAAAGTTTTCAATCCGTGATGATTTTCAAATTTGATCTACTAACCCTGTTGAGCATCTCAAACATGATATGGAACGCAATCTGTGGTGAGTAAGCATACGCTTTACATATAGTTAGAGCATACAACTGAAGGGCATACCTTTAATAAGTCGATAAGGCTCAATTGGAGTCGGTACAGTGCGGCGATTGTAAGAAGACTCAGTCCGGTTGTCCGAGAGTCGAATCCCCCGGCATCTACTGTGAAAATATCGCAGATCAAGAGAAAATAAGACCAAAAGAAAAACACTCCAATAGAGCCGCTGACAATGGATTATTTTCGGCATGTGTGCCAGATAATTACGAACAGATTGGTATGCATTTCAATCAGATATCGGTTGTATTGGATTGATTTGATATTTTCCAGGTGAGATATGGGACTGGTGCTGCTTTTGGAACGCGGAAATAGGATGTCAACAACTTAGGGGACGCTTCTATCATCAGAACTCTAGCTGGAACGAGGATGAGACCTGTGATCTCTGTCTGCAATCGTGTGACTGTCATTCAAAAGACCATGTATCCCGAAATCGCCTTTCCAGGGTACTCGTCCTCTGCCTCACTATTATCCGAATATATTAAAAACTACGAATGTATATACATATATTTTATTTAAGAAAATAATATTAAATATACGGGCAGTTTCAACTTTTATGGTTACTGCTTTTTCCCAAGCCACTGGAATGCCTTGAGAAATGTTGCTTTACATATCACAGGAAATTCAATAAAGCTGCCTGCATGGGGGAATTTCAAGTGCCTGAACCCCAGACCAAAACAAAGTGGCCATTGGACTAAGCCAAGGCGCATACAAATCAAGTCAACAATGGGCGGGCTACACAGTACAAAGCACGGGACACGGGACACAGGACACAGGACACAGAACATGGGCTAACGGCAAAGAGGCGAGAGGATGCGATATTGTTTCTGTTTGTTTGGCTTGTCTCGGACAGGCTGGAGAGTGTTTGGAGGCCCCTTCTGGGGGATTTCCTTTATCGCAAAAAAACGTGCATCGATGTTGGGTCAGTTCGTTCCTTATTGAAATTGCTGCCTGATGTGATCCCAAAATAGTGATCAACTTTGGACAGTGTCTCGCAGCCCTTATGCTGCACACAGATGGAGCTGTGGAGAAAATGGAGCAGGCATATTCTGTGTCCTACTGCGCCCGGTGGTGGTCCGCTCGCTCCAGGCCCCATCCACGACTTTTGTCTGCAAGTTCATTGGCCCATTTCCCATTTTCCACTTTTATGTTTGCCAAGCACTGACACTGCGGCCAACAGCCAAAATGCAAATGAGCGGCTCTGGATCTCTGGTTCCTCCTCTGGACTCTGGCTGCTGTCCAACTGGAGAACAAAGAACCGAATAAAAAATATTAAGCAAAATGTGTGGCAAACTTTAAACGAAGCGAAGCCCCAGAAATGTTTTGGCCTGCGTTTGTTATATTTTATTTACTAAGTGCAAATGTTGCTTGCAGTCATTGAAATTGAAACAAATATATACACGCACGCGAGCACACATACTCGTAAAACCAAAAAAAAAAATGAATAAAAATAAAGCCAAAAAACAAAAGGGGAACGAGGGACCATCGCCCAGAAGCCTAAGTCATTTGTAGCCCTTTTGTGAGTGGGCCAGCAAACACAGCAACAACAAACACGCTAACTTAGCTGCCTCATCATGCCACCATTAATGTGCATGTGTGTGCCTTTCCATGGCCCTCTGTCTGTGTGTGTGTGTGTGTGTGTAAAAGTTATAGTAAAAGCGAGACGCACGTATTTTAATATGTGCCCCAAAGCAGAAGAAAAATCGCACGTACGTGACTTCATTTGCTCTGCTCTGTCCCTGTCCCATTGCCAGCGGCATGTCCTGTCCCTGTCTCTTGCTCTCCTCAGAGCAGAACAAGCGGCGGCCAGAGTTGATACCAGTTTGGCCAACAGGGTTGCCAAGCGGCAATCAATTCATCCTTTAATCAATTGCTTCATAATATTCCACCATATGTCGATAGCTTGTCACTGTTATATATTTCTTTAGCGGGATCAACAATTGCTCATGTATTTTGTATGATTTTTGTTGGGCTCTTCAATGGTTTCCTTAAAAGTAGATCAGATCTGATCGATCTATAATACCTTATCCATAGATTAATTTATTCTTATAGAATCTCCTTCTAATTAACCTGTTCAATCGGCGTATACCCTTCTATTTTGTTTTGTTGGCCTGCTTTGTTTTCATTTCGCTCCGAGTGCTACGACGAATCAATGGCGTCTGGGCCTGACCTGACCTGCCCCGCTGTGTCTGTTTGCGCTTGTGCGTGCGACACATGTTTTAATTAATAAATGCCATTGTCAAATCACCTGACATTAGGCCGGGATGCGGCCAAGACTTGAAATATTTGCCTCATAAGTTTGTACGGTGAGGCTTGTAGCTGCTGTGAGGAGGCCTAGGGTTTTTGGGGTCCGCCGAAAATTAGGCACCGTCTAACGAGAGGCAAGACAAACTCCTCTCTTTAACAGTCGGCAAAGAGGGCCTGGGATCAAAGAGTGGGTCAGAGCCAGGTCAGACTTCCTCGTCGAAAGGAGAGCGAGTTCGAAGTCGAAGTCGGACAAGATAAAAGGCTATAAATAGATGGCATTGGACGCCATTGCGGGATTCCAAGCCTGGTCGACAGCATTGGATTTTGTTCACCAAGTGTTCACCTCTATAGTGGCAGCCGTATTTGAATGTTCAAAGAAAGAAAAAAGAGAAAAAACCATCTAAATACAATAACTAGTGAAAAGTAGCCCAGGCAGTGAGGCGGTGATTAGTGAAACCTCTTCGATACACCCTTTCGACGGGTCACCCGTTTGGGTAAGTTGAGGAGAAAAAGACAGACTAGAGAAAGTGTATATTGTAAAGTGTATTTGTGGGTGCAAATTTCCATAGGTTTTAAATTGGAGGAGGCTCGTCTTCCACGACTACCAGCTGAAATTCGTAGAAATTCGCCGGAGCTTTGGGTCGTCGCCTTGGAGCAGTTCGGCGAGCCAGAGAGGAGAGGCCAACTAGTGCCCGGCAGACGGCAGCCGCGTCGGCTTGTTCATCGCTCCGCGTATGCGTCCATACCCCGTGCGCAGGGGAGGAGGCAAAGAAAAAAAAAGTGTTCTGCAGTGGCGGCAAATAGTGGCAGATCGAACTAGCAAATTTCTCACAATTTCTCGCCCAGTTCAAAATAACAATAACAAAAAAAAAAAAAATCAAATATAAGAAACAAATAACGGATCGTAGTCAGATGCTCTAAGCATTAATACCCGAGTGATTTTATTCTCCCTCTCATTTAGGCTTCTTTAGCTCTCTATCCCTTTCTATCTCTCTCCACCTAACTTTGCGCTGCGGGCGAGCCCCCACATACCGGTGCCCGATAAGCGCCGCTGATCTGCACATAGGAATGCAAGACTGAGCGCAGAGGAATGTAAGGCGGCGTGAGGGACGGGAAGAAAAGAGACAGACAATCACCGTTAAAATTAACTCGATCTGCCTGAGCCACTCGGTCGTCATCTCATTTTTTTGTGTGTGCGAATTGTGTGTGTTCTTCTTTTTTTTTAAACTTTTCAGGGGCCCAAATCGGAAGCGCTTCGTCGATGGAGGTTCCTGTAAGTCGTTTAATTGAATAAATAAGATATGTATATGAAAGTTCGAAAAATATATAAAAATATGAAAGTTCGCCACGGGAGCGCACCCAATTAGTGGGTTGAAAAGAGAGGGCATCAGAAAGTTCACCTCTTGATTCTTTTCCCTACGCCTCTCGTACATTACACCTTCTCTTTTGGTGGATCGCTATGCCCAGCAAATGCTCACATAAAATTTTCTTACATTTCTTTTCTTTTCACTCCTATTCAAATCATCTGTTCTCTCTCATATCTCACCTAAGCTTCTTATTTATTTACAGTACTTTACTCAAATTATTTAAAA